TCAAATTAAAGATCTAACATCACACCTGAAGAAACTAGACAAACAAGAAGAAATTAACTCCAAAGCTAGCAGAAGTGACTAAAATTAGAACAGAAAAAAAATAAAATAATAAAATCAGAGCAAAACTGAAAGAAATTGAGACTTAAAAATCCGTGCAAATAATAAACAACATCAAAAGTTGGTTATTTGAAAGGATAAGCAAGATCAATAGACAGCTAGCTAGATTAACAAAGTAAAAAAAGAGAGAAGATCCAAATAAGCACAATCAGAAATGGCAAAGGTGACATTACAACTGGTCCCACAGAAGTACAAAAGATGCTCAGAGACTATCAGGAACATTTCTATGCAAGCAAATTAAAAAATATAGAGGAAATAAATAAATTCCCCTAAACACACAATCTCCCAAGATTGAATCAGGAAGAAATTAAAACCCTGAACAGACCAATATTGACTTCCAAAATGGAATCAGTAATAAAAAAAATCTACCAACCAAAGGAATCCCTGGACTAGGTTAATTCACATTCAGATTCTACCAGATGTACAAAGAAGAGCTGGTACAAATCCTACTAAAACTATTTCCAAAAAATTGAAGAGGAGGGACTCCTCCCTAACTCATTCTATGAAGTGAGCATCGCTTTGATAATAAAATATGGCAAAAGGCACAATAACAAGAAAAACCATAGACCATTATCCTTGATGAATATAGATGCAAAAATCTTCAACAAATGGAGTCCAACAGCACATCAAAAAGTTAGTTCACCATGATCAGGTAGATTTCATTTTAGAATGCAAGGTTGGTTCACCATACACAAATCAATAAATGTGATTCACCATATAAAAAGAATTAAAAACAAGAACCATATGATCATCTCAATAGATGTGGAAAAAGCTTTTAATAAAATATAACATCCCTTCCTGATAAAAATCCCCAAGAAATTAGGCATTGAAGAAACATATGTCAAAATAATAAGAGCCATCTATGGAAAACCCACAGTCAACAGCATACTGAATGGACAAAAGCTGGAAGCATTCCCCTTGAAAAGAGAAAGAAGGTAAGGATGCCCACTCTCACCACTCCTATTCAACATACACTGGGAGTCCATGCCAGAGCAATCAGGCAAACAAACAAGCAAACAAACAAAAAACAAAAAAACCTCCCAAATAGGAAAAGGAGAAGTCAAACTATCTTTCTTCAATAACAATATGACTCGATACTTAGAAAATCTTAATAATTTTGCCTAAAGGTTCCTGTAATAAACGAATTCAGTAACATCTGAGGATACAAAATCAATGTACAAAAATCAGTAGCATTTTTATACACCAATAACATTCAATATCAGAGTCAAATTAAGGACACAATCACATTTATAATAGCCCCCCACACACACACACACAACAAAAAACAGGAATACATCTAACCAAGGATGTAAAAGATCTCTACAAGAACCACATAACACTGCTTAAAGAAATCATAGGCAACACAAAAAATAGAGAATTATTCCACGTTCATGGATTGAAAGAATCAATATTCTTAAAAGGACATACTGTCCGAAGCAATCTATAGACTCAATGCTATTTCTATTAAGCTACCAATATCATTTTTCACAGAGCTATAAAAAGCCCTTCTAAAATTCATATAGAACCAAAAAGGAGCCTGAACGGTCAAAGTAATTCTAAGCAAAAAAAAAAAAAAAAAAAAGCTGGAGGCATCACATTACTCAACTTCAAACAATACTACAAGGGTACAGTAACCAAAACAGCATGGAACTGCTACAAAAACAAATATATAGGCCAGTGGAGCAGAATAGAGAACCCAGAAATAAAACCGCACACCTACAGTCATGTGATGTTTGACAAAGTCAATAAAAATTAGCAGTGAAGAAAGGATTCCCTATTCAATAAATGGTGCTGGGATAGCTAGCTAGCATATAAAGAAGGATGAAACTGGACCCTTAACTTTCACCATATAAAAAATTAACTCAAGATGGATTAAATATTTAAATGTAAGACCTCAAACTATGAGAATCTTAGAATAAAATCTAGGAAACACTACTCTGGACATCAGCTTTAGGAAAGAATTTGTGACTATGTCCTCAAAAGCAATTTCAACTAAAACAAAAATTGACAAATAGGACCTAATTAAACTAAAGTGTTTCTGCACAGCAAAAGAAACTATCAACAGAGTAAACAGACAACCTATAGAATTGGAGAAAATAATTATAACCTATGCATCTGATAAAGGTCTAACATCCAGAATCTTAAAGGAATTTAAACAAATAAGCAAAAAACAATACGATTAAAAAGTGGGCAAAGCACTAAAAAGTGGGCAAAGGACATGAACAGACACTTCTCAAAAGAAGACATTCATGTGGCCAAGAAACATATGGAAAAAAACTCAATGTCAATGATCATTAGAGAAATGCAAATCAAAACCAGCATGAGATACCATCTCACACCAATCAGAATGGCTATTATTAAAACTATAAGAAACAACAGATGCTGGTGAGGCTGTGGAGAAATAAAAAGGCTTTTACACTGTTGGTGGAAATGTAAGTTCGTTCAACCATTGTAGAATACAGTGTGATGATTCTTCAAAGACCTAGAACCAGAAATACCACTGGACCCAGCAATCCCGTTACTGGGTATATACATAAAGGAATACAAATCATTCTATTATAAAGATACATGCACACGTACATTCATTGCAGCACTATTCACAATAGCAAAGACATGAAATCAACCCAAATGCCCACCGATGATAGACTAGATAAAGAAAACCTGGTACATATGTACCATGGAATACTATGAAGCCATAAAAATGGGATGATGTCTTTTACAGGGACATGGATGGAACTGGAAGCCATTATCCTCAGCAAACTAACACAAGAACAGAAAACCAAACACCACATATTCTCACTTATAAGTAGGAGCTGATCGATGAGGACACATAGACACATTGGGAGAACAACACACACTGGGGTCTGTCAGGGGAGCAGGGGTGGGAAAGCAACAGGAAGAAGTGCTAATAGATGCTGGGCTTAAGAATAGCTAATAGATTCTGAGCAGCAAATCACCATGGCACACATTTACCTACGTAACAAACCTTCACATCCTGCACATATACCCTTGAACTTAAAATAAAAGTTGAAGGAAAAAAAAAAAAGTGGGCAAAGGACATGAACAGACACTTCTCAAAAGAAGACATACAAGTTGCTAACAAACATACAAAAAAAAAATGCCCCACATCACTAATAATCCGAGACTTGCCAATCAAAACCACAATAAGATCTCATCACATACCAGTCAGAATAACTATTATTAAAAAGTAAAAAAATAATAATGGGAATGAAAATAGTTCAGCCTCTGTGGAAATCAGTTTGGAGACTTCTCAAAGAATTTAAAACAGAACCACCATTCAGCACAGCAATCCCATTACTGGCTATATATGCAAAGGAAAAGAAATCTTTCTAACAAAAAGTCACATACACACATATGTTTGTCACAGCACTATTCACAATAGCCAAGGCATGGAATCAATCCAAGTGTCCATCAATGGTGGATTAGGTAAAGAAAATGTGGTATATACACACCGTGGAATACTTGACAGTCATAAAGGAGAATAAAACCATGTCCTTTGCAGGGACATGGATGCAGCTGGAGACCATTATCCTAAGTGAATTAATGCAAGAACAGAAAACCAAATACCCTATGTTCTCACTTATAAGTGGGAGCTAAACAATGGGTACTCATGGACATAAAGATGGCAACAACAGACACTGGGGACCACTAGAGTGGGAAGGGAGGGAAGGAGGCAAGGGCTGAAAAACTAACTACTGGGTACTAAGCTCAGTACCCGGGTGATGGGATCAATCTTACCCCAAATCTCAACGTCACACAATATACCCAGGTAACAAGCATGCATATGTACCACTATATCTAAAATAAAAGTTGAAATTATTTAAGAAAAAAGTCAAAATATGTGCTAAACAAAACAAAAAAGAAATAGGAGGCAGATATTTGGTATCAAAAATTAGAGTGGAAATATAAAATTCTGAACAACCAGTGATTATATTCCTTTCATTAAATAAAAAATAAATACTTAACTCCACCTTTCTGTGTACCTCCAGTGTCAAAGAGTCACTATTTGTCTTTGCCACTGAATTCCAAGATATGTTGAAGTCCTAATCCCCAGTACCTCAGAATGTAATCTTATTTGAAAATAAGATTCTTAGGCCGGGCGTAGTGGCTTGTGCCTGTAATCCCAGCACTTTCAGAGGCCAAGACACCTAAGGTCAGGAGTTCAAGATCAGCCTGATCAACATGGTGAAACCCTGTCTCTCCTAAAAATACATAAATTAGCTGGGCCTGGTGGCACATGCCTGTAATCCCAGCTACTCAGGAGGCCGAGACAGGAGAATCACTCGAACCCACGAGGCAGAGGTTGCAGTGAGCCAAGATCACGCTAGTGCACTCCAGCCTGGGTAACAGAGCAAGACTCTGTCTCAAAAATAAATAAATAAATAAATGAATGAATAATAGAAGGCTCTTGTAAATGTAATTAGGTAAGATGTGGTTATGTTACACTTGGGTAGGGTGGGCCTATAGTATAATTTGACTGGTATGTTTATAAGCAGAAGGGAATTTGGCTGCAGAGACAGAGAGACACAAGAAGAAAAACATGTGTCGAAGGAGGTAGAGATGGGAGTGATACAGCTGCAAGCCAAGAATGGCCAGGGACTGATGGCCTCTACCAGAAATTAGCAAGAGGCTAAGAAAAATTCTACTGAGTCTCAGAGGGATCATGGCCCTGCTGGCACCTTGATTTCCAACTTTTGTGAGACAAGGAATTTGCTTTGTTTAAAGCCACCCACTTCATAGTACTTGGGTATGGCAGCCCTAGAAAACTCTTTCAGCCCTTGTGTTTTGTTACAAGCCTAAGTGAAAAATCTATCTAATAAACCCTTGTTAGAAGATTAACATGGGTGCCAGGAAAAGCTTACCTGCAACGTAGTCACCAAATCCAATAGTTGTTAGAGTGATAACCACAAAATAAATGGCGTCCAGGGCACTCCAGCCTTCTATGTGTTTGAATATGATCGCAGGCAGAGCCACAAAGAGTACACAGCCAAACAGTATAAATATGATTGTTGAGATGATGCGAATCTTGGTCTGACTAACATTCCACTTCTAGGGATGAGACAGAAAGGTGTGTGTGTGTGTGTGTGTGTGTATATACATATATACACACACATATGTATATGGGGAGAGAGAGAGAGAGACAAAGACAGAGAGAAATTATTTGCATACCCGCAAAGTTAACCTATACACTATTATGAGCAAATTAGCAAGTAAGCATGTTATTTTATTTTCTTTTATACTTCTTTACATATGAAAATTAGGTATCATCAATAAATCAATCAATGCTAATAATGATGCTACTTTATCCTCACATAGCTTTACAACAGGTAAAATTCTTTTGAAAAGGCAAATTACATTTGTCCTGAGAATGCAATTTTAGATTTCCATCATTATTTGTTTACCTAAAATACTTTAGAAATATTTCTATTCTATAGTCATACATAAAACTGATTGCATGCCAAATACAATCCAGAACCATATAAAAATGGAGACACTGAAACAAGAATTAAGTATTTATAATTGTTCATTGATAAACATTAATTTCATAAAGTTTATTTTTTCTGTCACTTCCATCACTTTTTCCTATCATTAATTTAATTGATTACAGCATAATACTAACAGCTTAACCTCCACAGTTAGATTCCAACATGAACCAGGTGATTTGTTTCTCTGTTCTATGGTACTAAATTGTATAACTAACAAAGCTATAAGATCAGCAAGTAAGGATAAGTCTTCAATATCCCTAGGCCATAGCTGTCATCAGAATACCCATTTTTTTAAATCTCCTTCTCCAATTAAAAAAAAAAAAACTCAATAGTGTAATGTATTAAATGAGGTTGGTATATATAACAGTTTATGTCCAGCTTTCTATTTGAGGTTAGTTACCATATATTTTAAGTCTGACTGAATCAGTCCTATTTACTGTAAAAAATATAGGTCACAAACTACACCATATGAAAATCACAGAATGTTAGAGCTTGAGAATTTTTAAAGACCTATGAAATCACAGAATGGAAAGGGTACATAGACATTCCTCTAGTCAACCATCCTCATCTTACATGTGAGAGTTAAATGAGTTCATGTTTATAAAGATTATAGAATAATGCTTGGTACCAAACACTGAACCATGATCACTGCAATGTCATCACCATAAGGGCATGGAATTTGTTTGTTTATGCACTGGTGTATGTGCAACATAAAAAAATATTACCCAGCGTCTAGGAGGCACTCAACAATTTGTTGAATGAATGAATGAAGAATTCAACATTACCATGTTTATGTCGCCAATCTGCCCTCTTGATTAATATAAACAGAGAATTATTTTAAATAAAAGTATAATACAAAAAAGAATAAAACTCCAATTTTGGAATAACTATGTGTTATTCTACTTCAACACAATGTTGAACAAAATGTTTGAGATCTAACTTTGATCTTAAATCTGAAACATGACTAGTGCTAAAACTGAAGCTGTAATCCAAATTGAGAAAACAATACTCCATATTTTAGTTCATCAGTAGAGTTAAATATAAATATTTTGTTGAACTTTGTGTGAAAATACAAACATTACTAAACAATGAACAAAATTTATTTGCAATAGTGGTGCTAGAAGTACCAAATCCTTTATAATCCCACCCTCTAACAGGAACAGTTACTTTTTCCGTAATTTTCTTCCAAGAACTCAAGCTTATAATCCTAAGAGTAGTAGTATTTTTCACTTAAAATTCTAACAAAAGCATTTTCATTTTTTTGTTGACTATAATACAACTTGAAGATCTCCATGTATACTACACCTTTGGTTCTACCAAATTACATTGTGTAGATACATTTCTATCAATGGCATTACTGAATTAAGTTATATGATCACCTTTATTATGTTTACTATTTAGACTACATCTTTCCCAAAGGGGCTTTATAACGGTATCAAAACAAATTTTAAAATAATAAAGTACTGTCAGTCTTTCACTACTTATGTTAAAGTTAAATTTATATTGCCACCAACCCTCAGAATGATGCCTCCATATACCATTATTCAAGTTATACAAACAAGAAAATGTAGGTTTGATGGGATAATAACTAGTTTAAGAGAATACAGCTAGGAGACACTACATATGAAATTTAAATCTGGCTGGACACGGTGGCTCAAGCCTGTAATCCCAGCACTTTGGGAGACCAAGACGGGCAGATCATTTGAGGTCAGGAGTTCAAGACCAGCCTGGCAAACATAGTGAAACCCCACCTCTACCAAAAAACACAAAATTAGCCAGGCATCGTGACGGGTGCCTATAATTCCAGCTACTCAGGAGAATTGTTGAACCTGGGAGGTGGAGGCTGCAGTGAGTCAAGATTGCACCATTGCACCATTGCACTGCAGCCTGGGTGACAGAGCAAGACTCTGTCTCAAAAAAAAAAAAAAAAAAGTAAAAGAAATTTGAATCTAAGACTTTTGAATTTCTACTTTTTTCTGTTTATACCTTTGAGTTTTTCTCATGCATTACTTTATTCATTCAGATTAAGTATAAACATAATTAAAATACAGTGAGTTACATGCCAATAGAGATACATATAAATTGTTATGGAAACCCTAATAATTGAATCGCTAATTGTATCTGAGGTGACAGAAAAGATGTATTTTTTTAAAAAATCAAACAATAAATATATGTAGTTAAATATCTATCATACTCACAATAAACGTATCTTCTACTTTGGCAATTCCTTTTCCAAATATGGTGCCTAGTTGATCTCCAACTCCAGCCAAGAGAAAACCAAAGAGGGGAATTCCCAGTAAGGCATAGATGATACAGAATATTTTGCCGCCTTCTGTACGTGGTGAGATGTTTCCAAATCCTTTAAAAAAATTACATTGTTTATAAATGAATATAGTTGTTTAAAACATATGAACTCAAGATTGATTCAGAAACTCCCAAATATTGTACGATATCAATAATTGATTTTGACTAGTTAAGAATCCGTTTGTATTACATACTATTTTAATATGTTCTAATGTAAGATATTCCAAGCAAATATTTCAAAAATATACAAAGTATAGTTAATATCCCAACTAAACTTTGAGATGATAAAAACTGAGGTGATAACACATGCAATAATGTTTTCATTATTATTATTCACTATTTTTTCAAAATAATATTTTCATTAAACTTATTTCTTTTTTCTTTCTTTTTTTACTTTAAGTTCTGGGATACAATTGCAGAATGTGTAGGTTTGTTACCTAGGTATACGTGTGTGCCATGATGGTTTGCTGCACCTCTCAACCCATCATCTAGGTTTTAAGCCCTGCATACTCTTCCTCCCCTTCCCACCACCCCTGACTCATCCCAGTGTGTGTTGTTCCCCTCCCTGTGTCCATGTGTTCTCACTGTTCAATTCCCACTTATGAGCGAGAACATGTGGTGTTTGGTTTTCTGTTCCTGTGTTAGTTTGCTGAGGAAGATGGCTTCCAGCTTCATCAATGTCCCTGCGAAGGACATGATCTCATTCCTTTTTATGGCTGCATAGTATTCCATGGTGTATACGTACCACATTTTCTTTATCCAGTCTATCATTGATGGGGATTTGGGTTGGTTCCATGACTTTGATATTGTAAATAGTGCTGCAATAAACATATTTGTGCAAGTGTCTTTATAGTAGAATGATTTATAATCCTTTGGCTATATACCCAGTAATGGGACTGCTGGGTCAAATGGTATTTCTCGTTCTACATCCTTGAGGGATCACCACACTGTCTTCCACAATGGTTGAACTAATTTACATTTCCACCAGCAGTATAAAAATGTTCCTATTTCTCCACAACCTGTATTATTACTTTACTTTTTAATAATCGCCATTCTGACTAGCATGAGTTGGTATCTCATTGTGCTTCTGATTTGCATTTCTCTAACGATCAGTGATGTTGAGCTTTTTTCATATGTTTGTTGACTGCATAAATGTCGTCTTTTGAGGAGTGTCTGTTCACATATTTTGCCCAGTTTTTGATGGTTTTTTTTCTTGTAAATGTGTTTAAGTTCCTTGTATATTCTGGATATCAGACTTTTGTCAGATGGGTAGATTGCAAAAATTTTCTTCCATTCTGTAGGTTGCCTGTTCACTCTGATGATAGTTTCTTTTCCTGTGAAGCAGCTCTTTGGCTTGATTAGACCCCATTTGTCAGTGTTGGCTTTGGTTGCAACTGCTTTTGGCACATTAAACTTACTTCTATCTCTTTATTGCTGATAATCCTGTTGACTGTAAAGCTTTTGTTATCATTCAGAACACACTGAGAAGACTATATTGCCTCAATCCAAGAGTCTTCAGATATGCTTAAGTTATTTAAAGATGAAAGTTTAGTAGCAACTTTAAAATATTTTAATTAAAGCATTTACCAAAAAGTAATATCCAAAAATGTAAAATTATTAAACTTCTTTAAAGTTTTAAAGATCGTGAAGCCTTTCCAGTTTTGTGCAAGGATATCTACTTGTTACTATTCAAGTAGCTCAACTTCATTCACTTTTAAGAGCAGAAGAACCATCTACACATATATGCTTGGGTTAAAGAATGTACTTCTAGAAGCACATAGAGTACCTCTTTTCATCAGCAAACCTCTTACTGTCCTTCATATTAAATTAATTTGGAACTTTGATTTTAGTTATCTCTTACTCAAAAATGTGAGCAGATATTTTGGGATTTTTGTTGTTGTTGTTACTTTCCAGTTTAATGACTATTGTAGTCAAAGATTATGGGCTATGTGATTTTTACTTGTTGGAATCCATTGAGATTTTCCTTGTGGCTTTATTATGGTCAATTTTTGTATTTATTTAATTGTTATTTGAAAAGAATATGAATGTTGTATTTGTTTGATACAGAAAGAACATGGAGTGAGGGTGAGCTAATGCTTAGTCATTTTAACCCATATATTTTTCCCTATGATATTTCCATCTTTCTCTTCCTCCTACTCAGTCAATTCTGTGTTCGTTGCTAGTCAACTCATCTACTGAGGGATTTGTTTTTGATGTATCTAATGTTCAAGAACTTTGACTTTTTTTTCCATTAGCCTTTTCTTATGCCATGAAAATAATAATTATATTAATTTCTTTTTCAGTGTTGAACCATGTAGTAACTCAATTCTTTGAGGAAAATCCTACACTTTCTTTACTTAGGACAATTTCTACGAGTAGTTAATTCCTGGTTATATCCTCATACTTGTAAACACAATACAATACTAGATTGGTTAGTATTTGTAGTCGAAATTTATTTTCTAGCCTCAGTGAGATTCATGATTGTTCTGGTGGTATATGGAAGATTCTGGTTCAAGGAGCCCTGGCTGAAGTAGTGCTGGTGAAGGAGGGGAGACTGGAGTCTGGACTTTCATGTAGGAGTGCATTGTACAGGATTTCTGGGGACAGGTTCTCCTAATTCTCAAAGCTGCCATCAGTGCACAGCCATCTTACTGTTTCTCAGGCCTGCTGCCTGCTCTGGGAATATCTGTAACACAGTTCTGTTTGGAAAATACAGCTTGATTCTGGAGGCAAAGACTGGAGGCAGCTACCAAAAAGTTAGGATTAGTAGTTCCACAGAACTTGAAGTAATTTATAGGCTGACTGCCCTTGGACCCATTTCTGCTTTTAATTTTGGTGACTTTATGAAGTTCTCCTGGAAATTTTCATTTATTGAATCCTCTGTTTTGCTTCTATGGGGGATGTGGGCTCCTCAACTCAAGAAGAGTTCATGGTCCCTCCGCATCTATACGATTCATAACATGCCCAAATCCACTCCTGTTGTGTCAGTCACAATATTTTTCCTGCTCTTGAGCACACTATGGAAATTTTAAAAAAAAATTTTTCTATGCCTCTGTCATCTCAACTTTTTAGTGATGTGAGGTAAATGCATGTTTACATAAACAAGGAATTCAATCTCTGAATTTACCAGTCTTTTAAGAAGTTAGATATTGATTATCTAACAAAAATTCCACAGGTTTACAATAAGGTAATCACACATCATGTTAAAACCATTTTACATCAGAGCCTAAAATTAACTGATTGAAAGATATCAGTCAAGACAAAACCTAGCAAGAGTTTAGCAGTATGTGATAGACATTCCTGGAACCATCATTCCTTAGTTATGTGACCTTGGGAAAATTATTTCCTCATCTGTTAACAGGACATATTGTTATTACATACTTCATTGAGTTTTAAGTGCTAAAATTAACTGATTGAAGGATATCAGTCAAGACAAAACCTAGTAACAGTTTAGCAGTATATTATAGCCATTCCTGGAACCATTATTTCTTAGTTATGTGACCTTGGGCAAATTATTTCCTCATCTGTTAAAAGGGCATATTGTTACTACACATTTCATTGAGTTTTAAGTACCAAATAAAGTACTATGTGAAAAGCGCTTACTCTATTATACTATATGTGCTCAATATATGTTAGGTATGATAATAATTCTTATAATCACTATCAATAATAATATTTGTAGAAGCAAAGGTTAGAGGATCAATGTATTTAGCCTCGTCAGTATGCAAACTATTTAATAGCCAGGTTAATGCACTCATGACTATACATTGTTCTTCCACTATGTTGTGAATGTTTTGTCAAATTATGGATGCCATTCTTCATAAGGGACATTGGCAAAATAGCATGCTCTATATTAAGCAACTTTTCACATATGAAAGTTGAAGGAATTGGAGGTGTTTGTGCTGAAGAAAAGAAGGCTGAGAGTAGAAAAACACAGGCTAGCTGATTTCAACTATGTGAATGATTAAAACATGGACAAGGAAACAGACCTATTCTGATGCTTCAAGGCAAAGAACAAAAAGCAATCGGTGCAAGCTATGGAAAGCGAACTCACGCTAAAGTAACTGCAGCCAAAACAGAGTAAATGACTATAAGAGTCAGACAGAAGCAAGATAATCACTTGCAGTGTTTAATATTTTGGACTAATGGTTTTCTGGGATTCCTTATAATACAAAGTTGTTATGAATCAGTGGGCAAATGTACATGCATAATAAGAGTAAGGTTCTCTAATATCTGCTTTTGCTATGGATTGCAATTACTCATTCATACATTCAAAATTTTTTATTAAGCATCTACTATTTGCCAGGCACTTTGCTAAGCACTAGGGGTGCAGCTATGAAGTAGACAGACCTGATCTCTCAAGTTGACAATCCAGTGAGGACACCTGCAAGAGACTGATACAAAAGTGTGATAAGTGTGTGCCACAGAAAGTACAGAATGTTCCTGATGCACAGGATGTAAGAGAATGAGACATGCTGCACACAGTAAGTGACCCTGAAGCTGTGATCTGAATCTGAGTAGAAGTTACTCAGGTAGTGTAAATAATGAAATTAAGGCAGAAATAAATAAGTTCTTTGAAACCAATGAGAACAAAGACACAATATACCAGAATCTCTGGGACACAGCTAAAGCAGTGTATAGAGGGAAGTTTATAGCACTAAATGCCCACAGGAGAAAGTGGGAAAGATCTAAAATTGACACCCTAACATCATAATTAAAAGAACCGGAGAAGCAAACGCACACAAATTCAAAAGCAAGCAGAACGAGAAAAAACTAAGATCAGAGCAGAACTGAGGGAGATAGAGACAAGACAAACTCTTCAAAAAAATCAATGAATCCAGGAGGTGGTTGTTTGAAAAGATTAACAAAATAGATAGACCGCTAGCTAGACTAATAAAAAAGAAAAGAGAGAAGAATCAAATAGACACAATAAGAAATGATAAAGAGGATATCATCACTGATCCCACAGAAATACAAACTACCATCAGAGAATACTATAAACACTTCTACGCAAATACACTAGAAGATCTAGAATAAATGGATAAATACCTGGAC